TTTGTTTAAAAAAAAAAAAAAAAAAGAAATGATTTATAACCATTTTATATAACAAAATCTGGCAAATATGGCATTCGTGTAGTGTCTGTAGATAATCATTGTATAATCCAAATCGATTTTTATTTTAATTACCGTTGGTGGTGTCGTTTTATTGTTAATAAGATAAATGTCGTTGTACAGTTTAAGGCTTTTTAAAAGTTCTAATTTTATAAATGCAGGATTCAAAAAGTTTATTTACCCTCTGCAAAGCCTTTCAAAAAATTTATTTTTTCGTAATTTACACGTAAAACAGTATTATGTATATTATAAGTAGTTTTTAAAATTGCCTTTTTCTCGTATAACTTCTTCTAAAAACATCAGGTACCTTTTAATAACAGTTTAAAAAAAAAAAAGAAAAAAACGAGAATGAAACAATTGCATTTGAATTTTGTTCGAAAAAAAGAGCGGCTATAATAATATACAGGGTGTGTACAAAAAGTAGAAACGGTAGTGGCGTTAGAAACAAGTCGGAAAATAGTTGAAGAGGTTGAAAAGGCAATTTATCAAGCACTTTTGTAAATTATACACTCACATACATATGTATAATAAATAAATAAATTAGAAATGCACAAAGGGAGACTTTTAAAAATGGTGCAACCATTCTACAAACATCCAACACAAATGAATAAAATTGTATTTATAAATGACAATATCAAATAATGATTAGAGATTAGTTAACAGCTAGCAGGGGTAGTATGTAGCTTGAAATAAGTTCAAATGTTACATGTGCAAAATTGTTACATATTATTTTGTTATATTTGCTTGTGATTTTATTAAATCTACTTGAACTGACGAATTGTATTTTATTTTTTTAGTACCTATCCCTATCTCTAACATCGAAATCGGTATTGTTATCCAAGTTTTTGATACTTCGGTTGTTTTACTGCTCGATTTTAGACATTTTCGAAAAAAATGTGACATTTCTTTTTACAAAATTATAAGTAATACAGTATATAATATCGGCAATTACTTTGATTATTATACAGAAGCCAAAAATAAGTACTGACCGTACCAAATAGGTAAATAGTATATACTCTTCCTCCTTGACCTAGGTTTAAGTAAAACCCTTGAAACTATGTTATAATTATAGAACCGGTTGCCACTATATAACCACTTCTTACCGCCACTATCATTTCATAAACAGTTGCCATTTTGTAGTTGGGGCATAAAATAATAATCGCCCTTAGTTAGTGATAAAAGTAGTATTTTACCCAGATTGTTTTTCAGAAAGGTATGGAATCGGTAAGTAAAAGTTCCAGAACAGGTTTAGCGTCATGCCTATTTGCAAATTTTACATTTTGGATAGTCGGTTATATTGAGGTTATGTTAAGTTGCTTTATTTTAATTATTTGTTTTCATTTCAGCCTTAAAGTTGTTAATTTGAGAAAATTACTTAATTTTTGAAGCAAACTCAGAGTTTAGTCCATTAGCAAGGTAGTAATTGATCTTAGAATACCATAACAGGAATTTACATTGTACTATTAAACGCCATTACCGTTTGGAGAAAGATACTTAAATTAATTACGTTTAGAGCTTGAAATGGGCATCCAAAACAAAGATTTCATTGATTTGCCATTCAAATTAGAATATACTGATGATGATGAAGAAATTGTTTACTTCTCGGGAGATGAAACTGAAGGCCGCTTTAGTCCATATCATATTTGGGCAGTTCAACCAAATGAAATGATTGAAACAGATGAATATGATTTTGAAGATGATGAGGACGATGATGAGTATAATCCTGCTGATGATGAGGACTTGTCAGATTCTGATATACAATATGATTCAGAAGACAGCCAAGAACAAGGTAAATATAACAAAACTAATTGAAATCCTGGGTGATCTACCCTGTTTCCTATACTTGACACTTATTTACCCCCAAAACTGTAGACTGGAAGATGCACTGACATATAAATAAAAATACAAACCATTCCAGGTCTGTAATTAACTTCTTACGAATAATAAGAAAAATTAATTTGAGTGCAAAAATGTAGTAAATGAATATTATTTTTCAGCCTATTTTTCTGATTCAAACAGTGAAGATACTGAATTAGCGGAGACCTCAGACATTGAGCAAGGGACTGGCAAAGAAACAGAAGAAAATAAAATTTTAGTTACTAGGTCCACACAAGCCCCAAATACTCAGTCAACAACAACAGCAGGAGCAGAAAGTGATTCGTGTTCTGATTCTTATTAATCTGTACTAAATATAATATTAATAACTTACATTCATTAGGATAGATACTTTCTATGCAGGTACTTTGTAAAATCGGATTTCTTAAATTATTCTAAATTTATAATTAGATTTAGATTAGATTAGATTAGCCACTTTGTATAAAATTGAAATCAATTACAATTACAGAGTACATGCAGGGGTTTTCTTTGAAGTTATGTTTATGTTAAGTAATTTAGCATTGTAAATAATTTAATTTTTTGGGTCCAGACGTTATCTCTACAATCTCCAAATTAAATTGGAACAAATATTATTTTTTTTTTATGTGTAGTTATTGTTTTTTCGTTTGGTATCTTATAATAGGAGTTTTGAAATGTACTGTAACCGCATTGAGTTTTAACTATCGTTGTGTTGAGTAAAAAAATTCGAACATAAAAGTTTTTTTGTACTTCGTTAGGTATTTTAAATGAAAGGCGAGGTATCTGTTTGCCCAACTAACTCGATCACATGAAAAGCACGTAATACAAATTACTAAGTCATTCATAAATTGAAAGTGCCCATGGCGTGCTGATGAGATCAAAAAGACCGAAATTACTCTTTTTAACTATTTAACTAAATAAATGCCTAAAATACTATTACGTAAAAGTAATTCTATAAAAAAAGAAAACGAAATTTTAATTAATTAATTCAAAACTAAATATTGATTAACCAAGACTATACGAGGTCTAGTCGAAAGTTTTTAGATTAAAGTTAATTACAGTAGTTTTACTGTTTTATTCTTTTTTCTTATTTTGTGAATTCTAAAACAACAAAACTAATTTACAATATCGTGTTCATTACCTTATTGTCTTAAAATTAGATAGAAAATGATCACATGGGGCGTTCACAATATATGTGAAGTCATTTTTTTTCTAAATAACTTGCCAATAATTTCCTAAATGAACAAGTAATTAATTAGATAAAGAAATTGTTAATAATAAGTAAAGTAATTTAAATGAGGGTAATTAATCTGTTATGTACTAAAAGTTTTCGATTGTACCTCGTACAACTAACGACCTTGAGACTGACTAGCGCCACCAATAAGTTTTCCGGTGAACTATTGAAGTTACGTCAGTCAGAAATAATTCGGCCATCTTTAATTTCGCAAGGACATTGAAGCTGTTGTAATTTTATAAAAAAAAAATAGAAAATAGTGCACCGCGGCGGTGTGTGTTAGTGCTATTTGGAAAATGTCGGTGTTGTTAATTTGATCAGTTGAAGCGATAATCAGGTCATACACGAAGTGTAATAAGTGTAACAGATCCCATAATGTCACTTTGACGTTTCGGAACCGTAACTTTCGTTGAGCCATCGAAATTCAAGTAGGTAAAGGGCTGTACAAGAAGAATTTGTCTTTTCTCAATTTCCTTTTAATATTATGCCTTCTTTTCAACCCTTTTGCTTCTTTAGGTTAGTGGGTTAAGAGGTAGTAAAATATGTTACTCGCCTGTTTGTTTTCAGGCTTGTGTTATAGTAGTTTGTTGACAAATCGTTTGTAGGTGTGACCCAACCAATTTGGGTGTATTTATTCAATTAAAAGACTTGCTACCAATTTCTGTTAAAACCGAATTTGGCCACGGTTTGAAAGGGATGTTTGCAAATTAGCAGACCGAAAAGTGCATCTATTTGTGTCTGCAAAGATTCAAGGTCGTGCAGTTATTAAATTTGACATTGAAATAATGGCCATAAGCAGAGTAGGGTACTTTATGACCTATTTTACTTTCTAAGAGATCATTAATGTCGGTACTTCGTTTTCAAGCATCTACTTTATAACATCAAATAAGTGGTCTTTCAATAATATCTGGTCTGGCTTATGAAAAAGTATATTTTCATTTGAGCTATTGGTTTCGGTTTACACATACTGACCCTTAGTATCATGCACACGATTTTTTGGACCTTGTATAAAAGTGAATGTAAATAGGTTTTTTTTTTTTTATTTGTTACTAATAATATCTAAAAGGGTCAATAACTTATTTTGATTTGTCACATGATAACCTAGTTAAATTGGTTTCATCTTAAAAGATAAACTTATAGATATTCTATTTTAAACTTTCTTTGCATTCTTTATATGTGTCTAATCGATAGAATGTTATTCTAAATTTAAAAAATGTATGCATGTGTATCAGTGTGCTTATTACCTTAAAAAAAAATGTTTTGCCAAAGGTAACAAATATTTACATATTTAATAGCTAATTGAAAAACATTTTTGAAGGCAAGGTGAATGTAATATGACTACAATGTTTAAATATAAACTATTAAACTCCAACATATAGGTTGAATAGTGTTCATGATTTTGTTAAACAGGACAAACAATTTTTAGTTAAACTATTATCTATATAATTATTTTTGTTTTGGTTCAGAAGAGATTTCAAACTAAAGAGTTCATTATAATAAATATATTATTATGACATATATTTATATTTGGCAAAGAGCCAGGTTTACCCAGTTTTCACTTTGTTTCTGAAAAACCGTTACACAGCATATTTCTATGCAGTTCCCCTCAATAACTTTTCTTTGTAAAACGTTCAACTTAGTTACCACAAGATAAAATTCTTCTAATCAGTTGTTGCCTCCTTATTGTTATGTCATTTTATCAAAACAGTATCGAAAGAGGTTTTATAATAATGATTAGATTAATTATTATTGATAATTGAAAATACTAATAAATATAGATGTGGTCGAAAATATGATAAGTTGATTAGAGAATGCCTTTGTATAATAGAGATTAAAGTGATGTGTTTTGAAACTACATTGGCCATAAAACTTATTCATGTAAGGATTAAGGAACTTTTTAAGATTTAATCGTTTATAGGATTATAATTAAAGGGTGGTTCTCTTTTTTATAGGCAATGGACATAATAGACGAGCCGAGTGGTATCCCTAATGCCCAGGGTACTCAGTTGAACCTGCCGTTCCTTTTATTAAATGGAGAGAAAATGGTTCATACAGGTAACTCTGTGGACGGAGTGTTAGTGTTGACGAATTATCGCCTGTTTTTGCAATTGTGTGAAAACCATCACCACGTACCTTTGGGGCTCATCGAGGTGGTGGAGCACCGGGACTTGTTCTATTTACATATCGGGTGCAAGGATGCCAGAACCTATCGGTAAATTGACTCAATCTATTGTCTTGTAAAAATAATATTTAAAAATATTTTTCAAAATAAATTCAGGTGCACTTTTGACAACAACGAAGTGTGCTTGAACTGGTTAGGGTGGCTAATGAAGGCGTCAGCGCCCCCGGAACAATTGGAACACCTTTTTGCTTTCTTCTACTTTGCAAGCACCCGGAAAAAAGGGAGCGAGAGTACCACCAATCGAACTGACATAACTTACGACGAAAGCACTTTCAGGAGCGAGGTACGATCTCCTTCTGTTTGTATTACATTTTGCGTTTTGTATCTGTACTTATTACCGAATTTGTTTATTAGGTCGACAGGTTAAAGTTCGATTTGCACGGAGCTTGGAGAATCAGTTCAGTCAACAAGAACTATAAATTGTGTCCCAGTTATCCTCCCCAACTTCTGGTACCTGCATGCATTACCGACGACACTCTAGAAACCGTGGCGAAATTCAGGAGTTCGAGAAGAATCCCGACCGTTGTTTGGAGGTAATTTAATGGCCACATTTTTTTATTAGTCGAAAAAAGCTGATAATTGATCACGCTTTTAGACATGTAGACAATGGGGCTATAATAGCACGGTGCAGCCAACCCGAGGTGGGTTGGTTGGGATGGCGTTCAGCTGAAGATGAAGACCTTCTGAAGGCTATATCTGACGCCTGCACTTTCGACAGAGGCCCCAAGACTATGTTGGACAATACCTCGCATAGTCCCACATCTTTGAACTCTGACGATTCGACCCAGACTCAACCCGAAACAGGAGGAAGCATCCAAGAAAAAAAGGTATAGTAGCGTCGTTTGCATTTTAGGGACGATTCTCTTGTATTTGTTGTTTTACTAGAAGGTGCTTATTATGGATGCGAGATCGTATACGACAGCAGTGGCGAATAGAGCTAGGGGAGGAGGCTGCGAGTGCCCGGAGTATTATCCGAATTGTGAAATACAGTTTATGAACTTGGCAAATATCCATTCAATAAGGAAAAGCTTTCACGCCCTCAGACAACTCTGTACTTTGACAGCAGATCAACCAAAGTACGTTTTGTTTCCCTTTTTTCTTTATTAAGTGATTCTTTACTTTCAATAAAAGATCGGTCTTTTTTAGTTGGTATAGTCTTTTGGAAGGTACAAGATGGCTTCAACATATGTCTGGGCTGATGAAAGCCGCTGTTACCCTGGTGAATGCTGTGGAAGACGAAGCACGACCTGTTTTGGTACACTGTTCTGATGGCTGGGATCGTACCCCTCAAATTGTTGCTCTTGCAGAAATTCTACTTGATCCTTATTATAGAACTGTTGATGTACGTAATTGATCATTTTTTTTATTGAATTGACCATTATTAACTCTTATTTCTTTTAATAACCAAACCTTTGCTATTTCGTAGGGCTTTTGGATTTTGATCGAAAGGGAGTGGCTAGCTTTTGGACACAAGTTTGCTGATCGATGTGGTCACGCAACAGGTCGTGATGATCAAAACGAACGTTGTCCCGTCTTCTTGCAGTGGCTGGACTGCGTGCACCAGCTCCTGGTACAGTTTCCTTGCGCATTTGAGTTTTCACAGATGTATCTGGTACATTTTTGGCCCTCTCTTTTATTTATTCCAATCCTGTATGTACATTTTTTGCAGGTGAAGTTGGCTCATCACGTGTATTCAAATCTTTTCGGCACATTCCTTTGCAACACGAAAAAAGAACGGGTCGAGAGTGTTTTAGACAACACGTTCTCGGTATGGCCGTTTCTGGATTCCCCTTGCTTTCGAAATCATCTATATGCACCACCCAATTCGTCGTCTGGGCGCAAGGTGACTTATAATATTTTTAATTATAGTTAGTATGTGGTTATATTTGGCGTATTGCAGGTGTTGTGGCCTAAGATAAACGTTCGGGACTTACGCCTTTGGTCTGAGGTGTATTTGGGTTCTCTTGAGACGCAAAGAGTATCTGAAAGTGGGCCCAATTCGTCCCATTCCGGCCCTCCCGGTTCTACTTTGAATCATATGACAAAGACTCGTTCCTATGGTGACCTCATGTGCGCCGCTGACCTATGTCAAGATGTGATACGTCGCAAAAGTGACCCAAACATCGTTGTCGACCTTTTGTGAGTTTGTTAATTAGTTTTAAATTTAAATATCATTGTGTCTTTCACATTTAGGAAGCTGAACATGCTCATGGAGATGCCTCCGACAGGGTCGTCGAGTTCAGATGGTTGTGGTGACGATATGGGGGAAGAGGATTTTTTGGGGGCGTCAATCAATAACGGGACCGGGACCGTCGATAGTAATTGTAATAACGATTGTCGATACAAAAACGAAACAGTGACGGTTCAGGGTTTGAGTGACGATTCAGTGGACTTGTTGGACGCGTCGAAAATGGACCCGGACGTCGTGAGGACGATGGCGACGAACGGGAACGATGTTGATGTCGATTTTCGGATTAATTACGAATCAAAAAATAGATACTGTCATCGTCTAAGGCGTCAGCATCGTGGTGAAAGTAACGGTAATGATAACATTGATGACGAGAACGGGTTCCTGGGCTCCGATGAAGACGAAAATGTGATATGTTTAACGAAGACTGAGACGAATCTGGTACGTGCTGCTGCAAGAGACGCGTTGGGATTCGAAAGTATTTGTCTGTACGAGGGTGGTGGTGGCGAAACAACGTTTCCCTCGTCGGATGTAACAAGTGATGTGAACCACAATCGGAGCGACGAGCAATCGTTCGGGATCGGGGGCGCGAGCGGTAGAGGGACGGACGATGCGGACTCGGACACCGAGTGTACCGAACCGAGCGAAAGTCGGTCTGACAAAACGATCTTGTGCGATACCGGTACGGGCACGAACGCGATCGTGACCACTGACCTTATAGAGACTAGCACTGAGACTCTTACGTCGTCAGAACACAACGCCAGGTGGTATGTACTTACTTATCTATTTATAGAAAAGAATTAATTATAAATTTGTACTAACGGTGCTGTTTCAGTACTCCTTCCAAAAAGACAACCGAAAAGACAATCCACGACGTCAGCAACGGAAACGTTGACTACTGTAAAGTGTGCGCGCAAAATATCAAGTTCATTCACGGAAAACACAGGTACTCAACATATTCATACCGTAAATACTGTCATTATTTTAGAAATTTTTCTCTATTCTGAAATTAAAATAGCTTCGATGTTCTTCTGTTTCAATCTTGTTTAGTTTGTATTATTTTTTAGTCATAATAGTCAGAGTACAAGCGGTAAAAGCTCCCGATATTCCACCCCTCCCGTATACTCGCGCACGCCCAGCGCTAATGGCTGGGACGCAACAGTTGCGTTCGCTACGCCCGTAGGGACGGGGATGCAGTTTGTTACCGGCCCTTCCCAATGTCCTACCGGTACACGGACGTACAGCTGTAAACTGGGCGACGATGGACTCGTACCGCTCCATTCGGACGTACAGGACCGGCTGCGGCAAATAATGGAAGAACACAGGGTGGGTAAACATTTTCGATAATAAAGTTTGTAATAATTGTTTGTTTGTTATTGTGTGCAGCGGAAAGAGGAGGCCCTACAAAGAGAATTGCACACGTACCGGCAAGCTCTTATCAAACAAGTCTGTCATAAGTGCAGCCACTACGAAGGAGAGAAACAAGATGATTCTGTAAGTATTTCATTTTAATAACATGCTGATAAAGAATTAGAAGTATTATTGTTTCTCTTTCATGTAGAGTGATAGTTCGAGCGAATCTTCGAATTCGTGTGGAAATAATATAGCAAAGGTAAATCCAGTTAAAATTGTTTGGATTGTGTGACTGAAAGGTTGCCTACTCTTTATAATCCCTAAGTTTTAATTTCTAATTTTATTAACTAATTCCGCTAACATCCCACCCCCCTTTTTTCGTTTTTCTTTTTGGTTTTAAATTTTATATGTAAAATAATTCTACTAACCCAGTTGATTTTATTTAATTAATTTTTTAAGAGTTCAGTAGTCGAGTCGGTGTGCAGTGTTGGCGAAGACCAGGCGTCAGGCGTCGAATCTTTACGATCGGATTTGTCATGGGAGGCTGTTGAAGACAGACCTTCGATGCTCGATTCGAGTCCGACCCAAACCACCCTCTGGGTGCCCGATCACGCCGTCTCCAGGTGTACTGGATGTCAGACGCAGTTCTGGCTCGGCCGGAGAAAACATCATTGCAGGTCAGAAACAGAGTAGGTCACTTTATATAAGTTAAAATACGTTTAAGTGTCTGAACGGTTGAATAAATAAAATGTTTTGTTGCGTTGCAGGAATTGCGGTCGTATTTTTTGCGCAGACTGTTCAGAAAATAGGACTCCGCTACCATCGGAGGAGCTCTACAATCCTGTGCGCGTGTGCACGACCTGCTACAGTAAGCTGAGACGGGACTGTGGCGAGATACCGAGTATATGTAAACATACTACAGACCATGGACACCAGACCACGAACGCCAGCCAACAAATAACCGCATCGAGCAACTAATAGTTACCACGCCCTCACGCCCATTACTCTTGTTCGTTTTTTCCCATCTACCATTGTTTCTAACAAAAGTTACTATAACGATCGCTATTAATTCGTTTTTCAACAATAACATACTATAAAAGACGAGTGATTTTTTGCAATTGCTGTAAATGGACGTGGGAGGGGCGTGGTCGCATTTTTCGACTGTCTGCCACCGACTTACTGCGATCAAAACGACAAGAGTTATTTTCTTTTGTTACTGGCGGGTTTTTGTTTATTGTTTTCCGTTATTATTTTTTCTCTAAGAAGACAAAAAATAATAAATTCTGTGATTCGTTGTACAATACAGCAACTGCTGTTGGATACTATCGCCTGTTAATTTAACGGTCCGTTTTAATTATTGCTATAGAGGTCATTACATTGTGCACACACATATAAAGGGTGTCAAGCTTATTTATTGTAATTAACTGAATAATTTGCCAGATCAGACGGTGATCCTCCCAAAGGTTTGTTAATATTGTAATTGTTTGCGAAGAAAGAAATCAATGGGCTTATTTATTATTAAATTCTTTTAATAATTTAGAATGTTATTTTTTATTATTTCAATGTATTGACATCTTTACGTACTCTTTTAAATCAATTTTCAACACGACTTTTAAAGAAAACACGCAGAAAAAGTTGTAGTATAAATAATCTACCCCCCACATGTACGTCTCATATCTTTTTTCTACAAGTTAGTAAATTGCCAATTATTTATTCCCAAAATAATACTGATTTACGAATAAAAAAGGCATTTTATTTTGTAATTCATTTTTTACTCGTGAATGTAATATTTTGGGGATAAACATAATCCAGTAGCGGTTAAGAAAGTATGAGATGTACAGCTTTAAGCTTAAGGCTATGGCCTTCGAAATGAACATAAAATACAGCTAACTATTAGAAAAGACTTCAAAAACCTTTTTACACTTTCTAGTGCTCAAAATTTTTCCACCGTACCGGTAAAAGGGGTTAGGAAGAATTGCTGTGATGGTATAAACAGTTCTTTATATACACATATATATATATATATATTTTGTATTTTAAGTTTTATTTTTTCCTTTTTTGTTGTTTTTTTAAACATAGACTGATTAGAGTGATTATTGTAATAGATAACAGGTAATTATTCAGAAAATGCAACAAGTGTTGTATTCGGGCTTTTAAATGAAATTTGACAACATGACGAGATTAATGAAAATCGGAAAAACTTGACGAAATCACAACCACTACTACCTACTGTTAACGATTTCCCAACAAAAGATAATAAAAAAATATTTTAAAGTTCCTTGTAATTGTCCAAAAATGAAAGCAAAATGGGTTTGCAAAGGCGCATGTATACGACTTGATAAAAAATTAATTAACAAACCGAAAGGTACATAATATTTTAATCCCTACAAATACATAAGTAATAAATTATTTATTGTCCCGCATTCGATTCCTGCTTATGAAATACCATAATAAACGTTTTAAATTATAAATTAATAAATTGTGCTTCTTGTCGATTGAAAATTGTGTCCTTCCAAATACTTTTGCATTAATCATATTTAAAATATTAATAACAATATAAGTGTCGGTGTTCTAATCTATTGTATTATCTCAATTTTTGGTTTTTTTCTAACTTTAAATAAAAAACAAAGAGAAAAACCAAAAAAAGAAAATATTGCAAACGCATTTTGTTGCCGAGAAATGTAGACAACAAACAGATAGACAGAGACAAAACAAAGATATTAACTTAATGAGTAAAATGTGAGTGCTACTTCTATCGGCACCAATAAGATAAATACAAAAACTGCAAATGATGGTTACGTTTCTGTAAATTTTATGGATTTTTGCATTTACTTGTAGAAACCTATTGAAGTTACGTCAGTCAGAAATAATTCGGCCATCTTTAATTTCGCAAGGACATTGAAGCTGTTGTAATTTTATAAAAAAAAAATAGAAAATAGTGCACCGCGGCGGTGTGTGTTAGTGCTATTTGGAAAATGTCGGTGTTGTTAATTTGATCAGTTGAAGCGATAATCAGGTCATACACGAAGTGTAATAAGTGTAACAGATCCCATAATGTCACTTTGACGTTTCGGAACCGTAACTTTCGTTGAGCCATCGAAATTCAAGTAGGTAAAGGGCTGTACAAGAAGAATTTGTCTTTTCTCAATTTCCTTTTAATATTATGCCTTCTTTTCAACCCTTTTGCTTCTTTAGGTTAGTGGGTTAAGAGGTAGTAAAATATGTTACTCGCCTGTTTGTTTTCAGGCTTGTGTTATAGTAGTTTGTTGACAAATCGTTTGTAGGTGTGACCCAACCAATTTGGGTGTATTTATTCAATTAAAAGACTTGCTACCAATTTCTGTTAAAACCGAATTTGGCCACGGTTTGAAAGGGATGTTTGCAAATTAGCAGACCGAAAAGTGCATCTATTTGTGTCTGCAAAGATTCAAGGTCGTGCAGTTATTAAATTTGACATTGAAATAATGGCCATAAGCAGAGTAGGGTACTTTATGACCTATTTTACTTTCTAAGAGATCATTAATGTCGGTACTTCGTTTTCAAGCATCTACTTTATAACATCAAATAAGTGGTCTTTCAATAATATCTGGTCTGGCTTATGAAAAAGTATATTTTCATTTGAGCTATTGGTTTCGGTTTACACATACTGACCCTTAGTATCATGCACACGATTTTTTGGACCTTGTATAAAAGTGAATGTAAATAGGTTTTTTTTTTTTTATTTGTTACTAATAATATCTAAAAGGGTCAATAACTTATTTTGATTTGTCACATGATAACCTAGTTAAATTGGTTTCATCTTAAAAGATAAACTTATAGATATTCTATTTTAAACTTTCTTTGCATTCTTTATATGTGTCTAATCGATAGAATGTTATTCTAAATTTAAAAAATGTATGCATGTGTATCAGTGTGCTTATTACCTTAAAAAAAA